AAATTCCTGGTTGCAAAGTGTGGAATACATTTGTTCTGACTAAAGCGACATTTAATTTAATAATCTCTGCAGTTTTTGTGAAGCTGAGAGTAGCGCAGAACGCGTTTATAAACTGTACGGTTCATTCGGTGTACCTTCAGGCATTCTTATTAAATTATAAGTGCGTGTGGACTAGATGCATCTATGTCAGGACAGGGTGTAAGGAGGGGAGGGGCACTTGTGAAAGTGGTTATAGACACAGACGTTACACAAAAGACGGAAATTTCCTGATCAACTGAGTTGTTATTAGCTTCTTCAGAAATACTCTAGTCCATTAAGTTACATATTGGCCTAAAGTATTGTGTGCAATGAATAAGTATCGGTGTTGAGTAAACTTTATTAGTTTAAAATTCAGTCCAGTGAGAGAGACTAGCTCTATCTAAAGGACCCAACAGAGTAGGTACCTCTCACCTGAAGACGGAGACAGAACCAGCCTCCGAAATGTCGTGGTTTTAAAGAACAGACGATGGAAAAAGTCCTGACAATGAATAATTTTTAAGTGTAAACTACCGTCGTCAAAACCCTTTAGAATTCAATAATACTTTCCACATAAGGCGAGTGTTTGTGTAGTAAGAAACCGGCCAATCAGTTCAATGAAACACGCTGGTATACGACCTCGCCAATCGATTTATTAGAGACATCAGTGCCCTCGCGGACTAGGTAACCAGTGGCCTAGCAAATGATATGGAGTAAACTTATAAAATCTATCATCTTAATCAACTGGCAGAAAGTGTAGTTGGCATGTGTAAGCTACAAGGAGAAATTTAAGAGACGCCGTGGTGGAGGGGGCACAGTGGTGGTCTCCCTCATCGCATAGCACACGGCAGCGAGCGGACCAGTCAGTATATATTATTGTTACAATGGTTTGACGACAACAGTTGGTCGCACGAACAAGGAAGCGCAGTTCTGCAACGTGACATAACGTGACGAAATGCTACGACCAACCTGACAGCAGGTCTGCAACTGTTAACCAAAGCAACACGATACAGTGGGTATATTTAATAATTTGAAAACATGGAGAAGATACCTGTGAAGTGAGTAATCTGTTTATGAATATTAATATTTATGTTAGTGCTTCAAAACAGTTCACCTTTGACTCAACGTAACCCAACAGAAACCAATAGCATATTTAATAAAGTGGAGCCCTTATAGTCTTTTTCTTTGAAGTGTTCGTATCAATAAAACAATTCGACCAGGAAAATTCGTTTTTATTTGGAACAATAGAATGTCTTCTATGAAAATTCCAGGGTCCCATCTTCAGCGTTCACAGTAACGCTCTAAATCTGAGGCGTCAATAAAGGAAATTGTATGTCAAAAAATGTGTTTAAATCTCGCGTTTAGTTGGAGGATCAGAACGATGTATATTCCTGTATGCGGGAGTTCGCAACACGAGTTGTCATAAAAATAACAGAACTTCTTGGTGTGAAACATCGTTCGGAAAATTGTTTCATCAATAATCATACTGTATCAAGGCTCACTTTTATTTAGAGGAATCGGGTTTTGGCTTGGTTCTTATAAATTACGTCGACAAGCAAACAAACAAAAATAACAACTACATATCCCTAAGGTAATCTCCCTTAAGGCATATAATGATATCGGTAATTACAATGTGGTTCGCTGGCCTTGGCTTTTATGTGGACGTTCGTCACACAACTCCGGTTCATAATAACTGTGACATTTTCAATACGATAAAGAGTTTAGTAAAGTGTGATATCAGTAACAATAAAACTATACCAGCTTTCGGTATTGGAAGGATGGAACGTCACCTCTACTTCTTCTTCATACGATATTTTCAGCTTAAGCGGGTCGTCTGGCAATCGAACCCAACGTTCAAGCAGACGTAATTAAAAAACAGGTCACAATCACGAGAGTCCGTTGTCGTTATATAAGATGTACTGCAAGGACACAGACGTGAAGAAGTCTTAAGGACAAATGTATTAATGCGAATCACGTAACTTGGCGCTAATTTTATAGGAGTTTCGGGCCGCGGTCAGTTCTACCTCACACATCACAAGAACTAATTACGAAATAGGAGAACTGCTTCTGAAAGTCACGTTCGAGTAATTAACATTCCTCCTTCGTATTCGGGAGGTTCTGTGTTAAAATGTCGGCCCAGTGACCATCCCGAGGTCTTCCTAGTTTCCCTCAGTACCTGGAGGCAAATACAAGGATAGTATCTTAAATTAGGTCACGACCACTTCCTTCAACATCCTGTTCGTTGGGTTGAAGGCCCGTCGACGTCTTTGGCAATACGCGCCTGTATAACATTTAGAGCATAATATCCAAAATTTGTTGATCTTGAAATATTGAACCTCTATGCACCTTGATAACTGAATAAAAAGAGTTTACTAGAATCGGGACAGACGTAAACACGTAATAAGAAAGCATGTTAATAAGAGTAAATCCGATTTCTAAGTACACCTGAACATGTCAGACGAGAGTGTGTTGTATCACTGACCTTACAGAACTGGTTCATGGCCGAACTTCACCTAACTCTACACGGATGACAGTGTCCGGGTGGAAATAAACTGCTCTACCGGTACACACTAATAAGCTGATCACGATGTACGTCAAAAGGGGACCAGGGGAAAGATCGAGTCAGACGGCGTCTTGGCCAGGAGGCCAAGTACCGACGTTTCAGAGAAGCATACTGCCTCCATCATCAGAACTAAAATGTAGGCACACAGCCAAAATAATACACGCGCAACAACCCAGAAGATCGCCTGTATTGTAGAAGTTTACCGACGTTTCAGAGGCAGCATCCTATCCTGTGTAAGATATGCAGTTTAAAACATAGTTCTGTGAATAAATAAATATTACGGGGCCATCTTATTTCAAATGCCAAACACTACGGCCTGTTACACCAATCACAGCAGATTGGTTAGCATTTCATCTTCGGGAGGTCCCGGGTTCAAATCTCAGCCCGGAGACCGGTTACCTAAAAGATGGTTTTCGTAGCTCTCTTCAGTTCCTCCAGGTAAATGTCGAGACAGTGCCTTGAATTAGGAAACGACCACTTCCTTCCAAATCTTTCTAGTTCACTACTGATTACTCATTTGATCATTTTACGTTGTATAGTCCAAATAAGACGAAATAAGAACAGTCCACTACTAAAGTGGGAGTAATAGAGGCCAATGAAACGATTATATGTCGTAAGAGTGTTGGCTCATGATGCAACAAACTGCAAGTAACGTCTTAGCAACTAAGTACAACTGATTTTTAAAATTGTGGTAACGGTAAAGCCTTATTAATTTTTGGTTTACATATTTTAATGTTTGCATTTTTAACACTGAGGTACACACTTTTCTTTTAAATCAAGGTTTGCTATAACTGAAAGCTTAATCTGGCATCTAACTTCATCTTTCATGCAGCTTCTGACATGCGCATAAACGTGATAATTAGTTTTAAAATTCCTTTGCAAAGATAGCAGCGCTATCTTAGTTACCTGTCTTGAGTTACCTACTGAGACTGTAGAATTGTTTTTATATATATTTTACGAATGCTATCCTAAATGCATGTTTATATCTAACATGTCTATAGCACTTGAAAAGTTATGAGGCCGACGGACATAAACACGCTGGTGCAGTGAGTCTGTATCCTTCATTATAAGTAGGGAATTAGGCTAAGACCTACTCGCCAAAGTTTGTCAAATACTTGAGGTAGGGAGTCTGTGGCAGCAGAAGACTGAAAGTTTGCTGGAGGCAAAAAAGAATATGCAAGGTTCTGTACGAGTAATACAGCACGTTCTCAACACAGAGACACGGTACCTGGACAGGAATGTCTTCGTCATTTGTGCCTCATCTGACTTCCTGCTCATAATTCGCCTCGCGTGACGTAGTTGGTGATGTGACAGTAGCTATGATTAAACTGCGCAATTGATAATTTCATTCTATCAATCACCTTGTCCGTATTTCTGTCTCTACCTCGAATAACCAGAGTACATATGATGAAGATCTGAGGTATTTAAGTTTCTTCATCATTCTGATCAACCCTCTTTCTCAAGTCAAAAAACTGTTCTCAGCACTTTGTAGCCAAACAGGCTTAATTTATTTTCCGAGACACGAAGTTTAACATTAATATATGAAAGCAGATAAAACTATAATATTTCGGCCCTTTGTTGGAACGCAGTTCTAAAACTAGATTGAAGGCTATAATCTTGTTTATTTGCAGGATCGAAGAAGCTGCTCCTATCCTGAATGGAGGCACAGCGGCTGTCAAACTGAAAGTGGTGTCCTCCCAAACGACAATAAAGAAAAATGGTTTCGTTTCGGCGGATGAGCTTCACCCGCAGAGTAAAAGGACGTTACAAGGGATACTCCCACAGGTAATGTACCGATTTCGAACCAGGGTAGGCAAAGCTGCAGGAGTTTTGGTTCTGTGTCATTTCCTTCCAACATGTTTTCAATCTATTCTTATTACCAGACAGACGAAAAAGTAGTGAGTCTGGTAAAACTCGTGTTTCACGAGGCTACAAAAACTCTGAAACTGAAACTTCGCTTTTAGGTGGAATAAGGAACGATCGATCAAGCCATATCAAATACTTGTCTTATTCTAAAAGCTACTGTGGAGTTTAGATTTTAGGGTGACTTTGAACCACTGTGAACGAATGTTTTAAGAAGGCTTGAGGGCTGGCCAAAAGTTGGAGAGACCAGCTGCTTTCATTTCGTTTGTAGTTAAGACCAAACACTACGCTCATTTCTTGTAATTCGCTTTTGTAACTTGACATTGGAATTCGATGTACGTTCACAGATGCTTGTGTCGGGGGCAGCGTTTCTACTAGCAGCGGGGG